ACAGCTCTCGGGGGAGGGAGCTCAGAGCAACCCAGCTGGTTCCTAAAGGGACACTGTCTTCCTAGGGATCCCCTACCGAAGAGGCTACCTGCTGTACGGTCCTCCTGGCTGTGGGAAAAGCAGCTTCATGTGAGTATTGCCAGCTGTCTGGCAGCAGTTTTCCTGCCAGCTGCCTGCTCTGGGATGCAGCATCTCTGGTGAGAGGGTGTGGACGGGTTTGGGTTTGGAATGCAGGAGCGGCTGTGCCTCCTGCAGGGTGCCTGCTGTAAGCGATCGCATTGCTGACACCGTTACAGGTCAAGGTGAGGAGCCCCCTGTGCCCTCGCTCTGCCCAGCGGCCTGAGCAGCGGCTCCCACCCACCCTGTGTATCCGATCCCCACTGCGGGAGGATGCCTCTGCCCTATCTATCCCCTGCTGCTGGGCAGGGAGATCTGGTTCTTCCTCTGCTCCAGGCTTTCTCGCAGTGACTCCCCGCTGTGGTTTGTGTCGTTCCCAGCACAGCCCTGGCTGGGGAGCTGCAGTACAGTATCTGCCTGCTGAGCCTCAGCGACCGCAGCCTCTCGGATGACCGGCTCAATCACCTCCTGAGCGTGGCACCGCAGCAGAGCATCATCCTGCTGGAGGACGTGGACGCTGCCTTCGTCAGCCGGGACCTCGCTGCTGAGAGTGAGTGGTGTTCCCAATCCTGGCCCAGCGGGAGGGAGGGAGGGAGGGAGGTTTGCCAGCTGTGCTGGGGAAAAGTTTGGACTCTGGGCTGCTCTGCCACAGCTTTCTGGGGTCTCAGGGCCCAAGCTGAGCCTTGCCCAGTTTTGGCTAGGCTATATAAAGGAAAATTTGCGTCTTTTATCTTCAGGTAAAGACACTTCTCCTGCTTAGGTATTTTCAGCATGAGGGAGGAGGTGGCTTTCCCTCTCATTCTTTTTTTTGGGTTCCTAGGGGTGCAGGTGGGTAGGGGAGGTGAATGTGCTGCCAGCCAGGGAGAGGCAGAGTGTCAGCCTCGGGGCAAGGAGAGAGTGGGGGGCTTGGCTTAAGTGAGTGGGGAGCTTGGCTTAAGCCTCAGGTGATAGGGAGGTGGCCCTCAAGACTGCATGGGCTTAGTGGCCAGTGGATGTGATCTCAGACACCTCTGTCCCCAGACCCGGCTGTGTACCAAGGCATGGGGCGCCTGACCTTCAGCGGCCTCCTCAATGCGCTGGATGGTGTGGCCTCCACAGAAGCCAGGATTGTCTTCATGACCACCAACTATGTGGACAGGTCAGAGCTGCCCTCTGGGAGGGAACAGGGAGGGTAGCCTGGGAAAACCTTGCTCCCTTTTGATGGGCTTTATGGGGGCTATTTGCATCCTCCAGCATGAAGACTTGGGGTTCAGGTTTTCTGAATCCTCCCTTGGGATGCAAATCCCTTGACTGCTAATCAGGATCCCTTTTGCTGGATCCTCAGGTGCTTCCTTGCTGTTCAGACCATAGTTGTGCCCTTCAGCAGTGGTACCAGCTTCCTGCCCATGGGGATCTGCAGCTTTTGGGGTTGTGGCTGTGCTGCGAGGGAAATGCTGGCCCCGCGTGCAGCCCATTGGGTTGGCAGGGTGCAGCCTGGGCTGATGGTACCTGGCCAGACGCTGCCCTGTGGCGGGCTTGGCTCACTCCAGACTAAGAGGTGCTCATGGGATGGAGATGAGCAGAGCTTTTTTGCCAGGACATGCTTGTCCTCCTCCAGAGCCAGCCCTTTGCCAGCTTTCTTGCTTCTTTTGGGTTGACTTGCCCCCTCAGCCCTGCAGGGGCAAGCCTATTCCTCACCTTTACCACAGTGCACTGCACCGTGCAGCTGTGCTAGCATAGAGGGGGGCTTCCTGTGGGACCCACCCTGCAGAGACAAGTTTTGAAGGCATCCCTGTGTCTTGACAGGCTGGACCCAGCTCTGGTGCGCCCCGGCCGCGTGGATCTCAAGTTGGGTTGACTTGCCCCCTCAGCCCTGCAGGGGCAAGCCTATTCCTCACCTTTACCACAGTGCACTGCACCGTGCAGCTGTGCTAGCATAGAGGGGGGCTTCCTGTGGGACCCACCCTGCAGAGACAAGTTTTGAAGGCATCCCTGTGTCTTGACAGGCTGGACCCAGCTCTGGTGCGCCCCGGCCGCGTGGATCTCAAGCAGTACGTGGGCCACTGCTCCCGCTGGCAGCCTGCCTGCATGTTCCTCGAGCAGCCTCCAGCTGCCGCCCAGCGGTTTGCGGAGCAGGCACTGGCAGTCTCCAAACAGATCAGCGCTGCCCAGGTGCAGGGCCACTTCATGCTCTACAAGACAGACCCTGAAGGAGCTATTTCAAACATAGGCTCCATCCTGCTGTGACCAGGGGCCAGCTTTCCTCTGCCAAGCTGAGAGGACTGGGACAAGGACGTGACCACCCCGGGGGTGCCGTGAAGCTGCCTGGCCATGTGGGCCAGGTCTCTGTTCACTCCTTACCTCTCCAAGGCCTTGGTTTTTTATTAAAACATGCAGAGTCAGAGCTGACAGCCTTGAAGCAGGGAGAGGAAATCACCTTTTGCTGCTTCCCAGACTTGGGTGCTACTGGACTGGCCCCGCTCACCAGCGTGTGCCTCGTGCTGGGATTGCTGTGAGCTGCCCAGGCTCCTGGGTGTGAGTCTTCCTTGCAGGTCCGCCTGGGAGTGCCCCAGAAGGACATTCCCCTCAGGCAGGACATTGGGGTGTTGCAATACAACAGAGGTGCTGGTCTTTGAAGGGACAGTGGTCTTGACTGGATTGTGAATATCCTCTGTGAAGTGCACAACACGGCTCTTGGCTCTCTGGTCCCTTCACCTCTTACCTGATAGTCCAGAGCCCCCTGACCAGTGCCTGGCACTGCCAGTACTGCAAGTCTAGAGTGTTTAAAAACAAAACAAAAAGGCAGCTCCCAAGAGACAGCTCATTGTCACTCGGGCTGCAGTGCAGGCTGGTGCCACAGCTCCTGCCCTGCTGGGCTGCAATGCCGAGTCACAGATCTGCTTGGGTCCCTTCACCTCTTACCTGATAGTCCAGAGCCCCCTGACCAGTGCCTGGCACTGCCAGTACTGCAAGTCTAGAGTGTTTAAAAACAAAACAAAAAGGCAGCTCCCAAGAGACAGCTCATTGTCACTCGGGCTGCAGTGCAGGCTGGTGCCACAGCTCCTGCCCTGCTGGGCTGCAATGCCGAGTCACAGATCTGCTTGGGTGTCGTTCCTGGGTGGGCACGACTGTCCCTCCTGCCAGAGGAAACGTGGGGCCCTGCAGCTACTGCCAGCCTGCGGGTGGGGGCAGATGAAAGGATTTGGCTGGTTATAGAATTATCTTCCCAAGATCCTGATGTTAACCCCAGTGTGTATTTCTGCAGCGAGGCCAGCCCAGTGCAAGGTGACTCCTCCTCTCCTTCCAGCAGGAGAGGCCCTGCATGGCTGAAGGAGGGATTTGGCCTGCTGCTGGCAGTCTCACAGCCTTTTCTCTGTCACCAGGCTTCCTTTCTGCCAAGAACAAAAGTCCTGGATGGGCTGGTAGAGCCACAGGTGCCTGAACTGCAGTGGAGAAGCAGGCAGGTTCTGCTCCTCATTCCCAGAGGCAGGGCTCAAGGTGTGTGCGCTGACCCACAGAACAAGCCAGCCAGAGCCTCTCCCCTCCCCAGTCCCTGTTTCAGAGTCACAAAATCAGAGGCCCCAGAGTCAGCTCCGCATTCATGTTCTTGCTTTGGGGGCTGCACCACCCTGGGGGAGCTGGTTCCAGATCAAACCCAAACCATTATGTCACTGCTCAGCCCTCCTCTTGGCTCTGACCTGTGGGGCAAAGCTGAGAGCGCATGGGGATAGAGGGCCCCTGCTGATGCCACCAGGCTGCATTTCAGCACAAACAGGAGCTACTTTGATACAACCCCAGACTTACACAAACATTTTTCCAAGTGAAGGGTTGATCCTGTGGCCACAGAGCGGGGGTCTCTAGTGACTCAGGGTGGCTCCCAGAGCAGGGTGCTGCTGTTGGCAACTCAAACCCTGTGCTCAGCCGTCCCGCAGAGGCTGACTGCTCGGTTCCAGCCTCTTCCCTCAAAGCTGGGAGTCAAAACTGGCCAGTGAGCGACTGGCAAATGCCTCACAACAGTTTGGGAGGATGGGGGAGTGGTGAGGGAGATGCCACCACAAGAAAGCACAGGCAACATCTGTCACTCTGCTTGCTTTAATAGTGTTAGTGCTACAGATGCCGCAGTGCCCCTCTGCCCAGCCCGAGTGTTTTTGCCAGTTAAGCCTCACAACAGCCCTGTGAGGTAGGTGGGGGATGCAGGTAGACACCAAGTGAGGAGCTCCAGGGCAGGACGCAGGCTCTGTTCCTCCCTTACAACCCAGAGGTTTGTTTTGTTTCACCCAAATTAATTTCCACTCACTGTTGCAAAATGTTCTCTGCTCTAGGCTCACAGCTGTGTCAGAAAGGTGAGGGCCCTTCCTAAATCCATACCCCAGGGAAAAAACCTTGCCCTCTAACATGACTGGCATTTAATTAACGTTACCAAAGTCCTTGCTCATTCCGATTTCTATGAGT